GAATGAAAACCCAAAATCCCTGTAAATGTTCATTAATACTAATAAAATTTAATAATTAAAAAAAATACAAATTTAACTCTTCTGAAGTTCCCAACTGGTAAGTTGGTCAATCACTCAGTTACCAGCCACTCAACAAGAGAACACCAGGCAGAGTCCTCCCACTGAGATTTATAGCCTTAGAAACGCAACTGAAGGATCAACTCAGCAGCAGGGGTCACAATTTTGGATTAAACTAATATTCAGTTTTCATATTGCTGTCACCATGCAAACAGCACTCAACTAAATGATTCTGCTTCAGCTGAAGAGGCAATAATTTCATTTCTTTTTTGTACAGCCTTTTGTCTTCCCCCTCTGGAAAATGGTCTCATGTTTTTACCTGCTCTAATATCTAAGTTATTATATATGGATCATTTATTCTCAAACTCTAAAAGAAAGTTCACAAGTTAAGCACGTCAGTAACATCTATTTTTCTTTTTTGCACAAAGAGCCTGCCTGCAGTTCCATGCTCTTCCCTCTCACTCCCCTTCCCAATCTGGCCTGTTGTTCCTCTAATACAGCTCTAGGGTCACAACTTCCTCTTAGGGACCATTGGGAAATGATTATGACGAGGGAGTTTTTTATTACTGCAGTGCTTCAGAGCCACTAACAATACGGGAGAAATACTATGAATGCTCAATACCCTGTCATGTGAGGGGCAAATGCCATGTAATGAAAAAACTGTCCCTTTCAAAACAAAACCACTCTCTCCTTGCGGAGCACCGTAGATCACCAGCTTGTTCTCATGTCAGGGCTCTTGCTCCCCGGTCTCCTCTTCCGAGAGCTCTTTTTCCACTCTTTATCTGGCCAACTCTTACTGTTACTACAACAGGAAAGACTGTCCAGCATGAATGGAACTTCTTATTAAAAACAGTATAGCTATTCATACTTTTACTTGGCTGTACTTATTATGACTCTGTAAGTTAAACGTTAAATGAGTGTCTTTCAAAATAGGTTTAAAGTTCCAAGAGGGAAGGAGATAATCTGTTCAGTGCTATATTCCCTCTCTCTCACCTCCCAATAAAAACTTCAAACCTGCCGCTGTCAAGTTTACTATGATTCAACATTATTCTTTAGGACAAAGAAGTGCTCCAGAGGGTTTTCAAGGGTATAATATTCCTGGAAGGAATCTACCCCATTTTTCACCCATGGTTGATGGATTCCAATCACAGAACTTCTGGTTAGCATTCAGGTCCTAAACCATTCTACTACCAGGGCTTTTGCTATAAACCCCGTGCTTAGCAAAATACTTGGCACATAGATCCTCAATCAGTATTTGTCCAATGAATAAAATATGAGTTCACACACATTCACAGTCAATCTTTTAATCCATTTCAGATTAACAACAGATTAATAGAAGAACCTTACTTGTAGCAACAGTTTAAATTTTATTTCCTGCTTCCTTTGCTAAGAAGTATAATGATACCTTGCTCTGCTGCCTCCTTATTACAGAACATGGCCTGTCTTGATATCTTTGGGCTCCACACATGAATTTGTCTTTCACCCAATCCTTATCCTACCTTTTAATTTCTTTGTAAGAAAGAAATTTTCTTTTTAAAGTTTCCATTCTTCTTTATTCTTTACATTGTACTAATCGATTCTGTGGAAATTATCGAACAATATCACTAGTCAAACAATATCACTAGCAAAATCCTCCTGAAGATTATCCAGAAAATACTTGAACAATACATTGACAGAGAACTACCAGAAATACAGGTTGGGTTTAGAAGAGTTCGTGACACTAGGAACATTATTGCCAATGTCAGATGGATCTTGGCAGAAAGCAGAGAGTACCAAAAAAATGTCTATCTGTGTTTCAATGACTATGCAAAGGCATTTGACTTTGTGGATCACAGTAAATTGTGGATAACCTTGAGGAAAATGGGAATCTCAGAGCACTGGATCATGCTTATACTAAACCTATATTCGGAACAAGCAGCAGTCCTCAGAACAGAGCAAAAAACACTGGATGGTTCAAAATCAGGAAAGGAGTGTGTCAGGGATGCATCCTTTCCCCCTATCACTTTAATTCATATGCAGAACAGATCATTTGAGAAGCAGGGCTTTATGAGGAGGAGTGTGGCATTATGATTGAAGGAAGACTCATTAACAACCTATTATATGCAGATGATACAACCTTGCTTGCTGACATTGAGGAGGACTTGAAGCAGTTGGTGCAAAAGGTAAAGGACTGTAGAAGAGATTGACATTATTAAGCAATTATAGCTTGCTCGGATCCACAATCAACACTTAGCACCACCAGTCAGGAAATCAAAAGATGGACTGCACTGGGAAAATCTACTGTCATGGACTTCTTTAGAGTGCTGAAGAGCAACGATGTCAGTCTAGTTACAAAGGTGTGCCTAATCCAGGCCATGGTTTTCTCCATTACTTGTTATGCTTCAGAGAGTTAGACAATGACTAAGGATGACAGAGAAGAATAGACACTTTCAAGTTGTGGTGCTGGAGAAGAGTCTTGAACATACCATAGACTGCCAAGAAAAAAATCAGTCTGTCTTGGAGAGGGTGAAACCAAGTCTCTCCTTGGAGGCTAGGATTTTGAAGTTGTGCCCTACTTACTTTGGGCATGTGGCCAGGAGAGATTGGTCCTTGGAGAAGGACATCATGTTCAGAAGGGTGGAAGGACTGCGCAGGAGAGGGAGACGCCAGATGAGTTGGACTGATACAGTAACTGGGGCAATGGGGGTTGGTGTGTTGGGAGTTAGTGAGATTGGCTCAGGACAGGGAAGGGTTTAGAGCTGCTGTACGTAGGGTCACTATACTTTGCAGGCAACTCAACGGCACACAACAACAATAATATTCTATGACAGGTTTGGAAGCAGGAGTGACATACACTTCCTAAATAACATGCCTCTGGAAACTTGATGAACATTGATAAATGACAATAGTTGTAGAGAGGCTTTAGGCCTTTTGCTCATTGGGTTGCTACAAGTCATGCTCAACTCGAAGGCAATCAACAACAATTTTATCCTGAAACTCCTTCTACAAGACAGAATGACACACAGTGACTATACAACGGACTAGAGCATTCATTGATGGGGATGATAGTGCAGGGTAAGGCAGGGTTCAGATCTGCTGTTCACCGGGTTGCTATGAGTCAAAGTCAACTTGGATGGCACTTAACCACAACAGCATTCTATCCCATGGGCTACCAAAACAACAAACGAGTCAGTGCTAGAGAGAGTAGAAGCAAGGTGCTTCCCTGAGGCAAGGATGGTGAAAGTTCACTTCATGTATTTTGGGCCTGCTGTCAGCAATGGCCAGTCTTTGGAAACAGACATGCTAAGGGAAGGGTAGAGGGTCAAAGAAAGTGAGGAAAGACCCTCAACAAGATGGCCTGGCACAACAATGATCCCCACAGGCTGGAGCACGATGGAGATCGTGAGGGTGGTGCAGGACAGAGCAAGGTTCAGAGCTACGACGAGTCTCAGCCAACCCGAGGGCAACTAATATAAACAATACTTAACTCTTTCTGACAATTCTTTTTTTTTTTTTTCTAATTTTATTTTATTTTCTTGTTTGTGTACAGTCAAATCAGATATGACTGGTACAGGAATAAATTATTCCTCCTTTTTCAGCAGAGCATCTGGTGGATTCGAACCATGCACCTCTGGGATTGCAGTGTAGCTTCCCACCACTAGGCCACCAGAGCTCGCCTCTTTCTGACAATTCTTAACTGCTAGCTGTTATGTGCTGTCAAGTCGGAACCAACTCATAGCTGATCCTCCAGCAGGATGTCAGAGGCTGTAAACCACTTGAGAGGATCCTCTTTCTCTGTAGAGCAGCTGGTAGATCTGAACTGTCTGTGGGTTAGCAGCACAACTCCTTACTGACTAGATCACCAGAGCTCCCTAATGCCTAACTCATGTTCTCTTTAGTATTTTCTGGAGTCTCCATAACTATGTCCTTTAATCTCCAATCTCAAGTCAGAATCTCCTTTAGAAATTCTATCTACCTCACGTGCCACTGCGTGAATTCTGACTCATATGCCCCTAAATGACAGAGAAGAATGGTCATAGGGTTTTCCAAACTATAATCTCTCTGACAGCAAAACACCTGGGAGGTTTCTTTCAGGAGAAGCTGTTAGGAGATCTCAAAGTGCCTATTAGTCAGTTATAAACATTAGCACACCTCAACCCAAACTTATTTAAGCTAACTTTGGCCATATTTGATAAGAGATTATAATTGTTAAAGGTTTTTTAATAGCTTTTTTTTTTGTTTCACTATTACAATTACAGTTTTAGTGTGAATTTTTATACTGATTTGTATTTGATGGAAGAAATGCTTAACCTAGGAGCTTGCTACATTGTTAAGATTTCAGATATCTGAATTCTGTTTTTTTAAAAAATTTTATTATTTGTGTGTGTGTGTACCGTCAAATCAGATTTGACTGGTACAGGAGGAGACTGTTCCCCCTTCTCCAGCAAAGCATCTGGTGGATTTGAACTGCTCACCTCTCAGATTGCAGTGCAGCTTCTTGCCACTAGGCCACCAGAGCTCGCTGAATTCTTTAAATAGTTTCATGCATTGAGGGAAGTCCGTGACCAAAGAAAGAAGTTAAAATCATCACTTCCTAGATCATTTTCAAGCCTGTAAGTGACCTTGAACAACTAAAAAATCATAAACTAAAGGTCACCTACCTTGTGCATTATAACTTGTGTTTTTGGATACTCTCCTTTGGGCTTCAGGGTCTCCTTCTGCCATATTCACCAGCCACACCATTGTTGCTGTAGAGAAAGACAAAAGTCCAGGTAAGCACTGGAAGCACAGAAAGATAATACACAGATAGGAGACTATCATCTTTCACATAAATCACCAATCTTCCTAATGATACCTTAAGAATTCTTAACAACTAGAGGTGCACATCAAAATCAAGACAGATAAAAAGTTGTCTTTGGCAGTGCAGATAAGAGACAATTTTGAAACAGAATTTTACCACAGCATTCACATTTCCGTTGTCATAGAAAATTATTCATCACCATATATAATGTCCCAGAAAAGCAGTCGGAAAAAAAAAAACCTCGAAAAGAAAACTATTTCAATCTGTAAGATTCCACTTGGACAGTAACTAGAGCAGGTGAGTTCATAAAGCAGCAGGAATTCACCAAGGAAAAGAATTTATTGACACTACATTTGAAGACTTATCTGGGGCTAAAAGCCTCCACTAATAATAACTCTAAACATACAAAGTTTCCTTCATATTAGATTTCAATTCTAGACTAGTTAACATGCTAAACTCAGTTATGTATAAGAAGTATATAGGGGGGCATTTTCCATGTTCCTTCTACACATGTACATACAAACATATAGATTTACATACATCTTTCTCTGTCTGAGTTAGGAGACAAAGTGAATACTTTAAAATTGCACTGCTTCTATGTAGAAACGAAAACCAGCACAATTCTTTTGGAGGGGAACATCTAGCAAAACTACATGTCTATCTTTTCTTCAAATTATGTTATATTAGTTTGCTTACAAATTTGTATACATTGTGTTTCACATTATTCTTCTTTTTTTTTCCACATTATTCTTCTTCATTCATATTGTGCTTCATACAATCATTCCTATTTATTATGTTTTATAAAATTAATTACAGTTATACTAGTCCACCATAACCCCTTTTTATACATTAGAAATACATTACCTGTATATATAAGTTCACACATTATAAATACATTACTTTTATTACCAGGATTCTCACTTGTAGGAATTTATTCCAATAACACACCAACAATAACACGAAACTACCCCTAAGTGTGTGCTCTCTAGGGTTACAGTAAGAACCAAATGCCAGTGCAGCATGAACCCAATCTGGTCACAGCGAGTAATTTTAAACAAGGCACCTGGATCTATGTTTCCCTGGCTTTTTATGACTATGCTTACATAATTATATCCATGTTTTTATATCTGATTTCTGACACCCATATTGGGCTTTAAAAGTGATTTATGAAAGAAATGTATAGCCAAAGAGGCTAAAAAATTCTGTAATTCTTCAATAGTGCCTTTTCATTTTGAGGTTAAACAAATTCTATCATACAGTATAAATATGATCAAAGTCAACATAATTAATAAGCAACACATTGTTTAACTATATCCAAATCTAAAGAGAGAAAGAAAAAGACAAACTCATTATGCCCAAAGTGTATGGGTCTCTGTAGCCTTCTTTGAAATGAACCCCAAAGCCCAGGTTGTATGTTCCACAAAGGAAGAAGATACCTTCTTCAGTGCTGTATTCCATCATCTTACCTTCAAAAAACTCGAAACTCGAGCTCCCAACTATTTCCGCCTCACTGTTCCATAGGATTTCTGAGACTGTAAATCTGCATGGGACCAGACTGTCTCATTTCCCCCCAACAAAATGGCTGAAGAACTTGAGTTTTAGTTAGCTCAAAACACTCAACTAACTGTGCCACCAGTCCCATTCTGACAATGAAGAGTAGAGGTATCCATTTTTTCCCCTGTATGGAAGTATTAAAACTATAGCTACAAATAATTTTAACATTTAACATTATAACAGAAACTAAGAGTCAGTAAATTTTTTTCTGTAAACATTTTAGACTTTTCCTATAAGCATTTCAGTATACTGGGCCATATGGTAAATATTTCAAGCTTTATGGGCCACATCTGGTAGTGTCTGTACTGTGGTGGTGTTTGTTTTGTTAAAATATTTTCTTTGGCATATGCAATGGGGGGAAAAAACAAAGGTGGGAAAGATCAGAACTTCCAAGCAAAGCAATATTTCTCCAAGTCCACAGTCACCTCCCTTTTTTTTTTACAGATGTTTCTTTTTTTTTAAATTTTTTTTTCATTAATTTTAATGAAAGTTTACAAAGACTTAGGGTTTCCAGTCATTCACTGTTGCACTTTTCTCCCTACCCACCTCTCCCCCTAATTCACTCTTCTTGAAAAGAAAAACTCTTTCATTGTTATGCAATCCCTACCCCCCCAAGTCCACTCCACTATGCAGCCTTTACTCTGGACTTCTGTAATGACAAGAATACCCATTCATATGTCCCTTTTAAACAGTTCTCTCTCTCACCTGTTTCAATGCCATATACATCATTCCTCCCCTCCTTTTCTGTCTTCCCTCAACCATGACGTCAGTCCTGTTTTACAACAGTGGCCCTATGCAGTATTTGTCCTTTTGTAACTGAGATATTTCACTCAGCATAATGGAATAATGTCATCCATTTTGCATAATATTTCATGAGTTCCTTGTTTTTCAATGCTGTATAGTATTCCATTGTGTGAATATACCAGAGCTTCTCTATCCATTCGTTTGTTGATGGGCACTTGAGTTGTTTCCAGCTCTTTGCTATTGTTAACAAAGCCATAATAAACTTGGGTGTGCATATATCTGCTTGGGTGGTGGTTATGGTTTCTTTAGGGTAAATTCCCAGTAGTGGAATTGCTGGGTCAAATGGTATACCTATTTGCAACTTTTTGAGAAAGCACCATACAGCGTTCCATAGTGATTGCACCATTTTACACTCCCACCAACAGTGAATAAGGGTTCCAGTGTCTCCACAACCATGCCAGCATTTGATGTTTGCTGTTCTGGTAAATTTTGCTCTTCTTACTGGGGTCAGATGATGTCTCATGGTTGTTAGTCATCTCCCTGTTTAAGCAATTCTTTAAAAATGTAAAACTCCTTCCTCATAGGCTGTACAAAGAGAGGCCATAGTCAATATTTGGCTAAAGGAAATAGTCTGTGGGCTTCTAACAAAAATTAAAGCATTAAACTAATATAATCTGTTGAGTGAATTATAATTTCTACTATTTCTTAAAAAAAACAACACCCACTTTCCCTTAATTCTTCACACCAAATAGCTTAGATCAATAAGAAAACTATAAAAACTAATACACTTTAGCATCTCCCTTACTTTCCTGACAACAGATCGTAGAAAAATGTTCATAAAAATGTCTTCAATTGTTAGCTTTAAGTTTAATTAAGCTACCAGAGGGGCCGACCTCTGCCAAAGCAGAGTTAGGCAAAGAGTAGGTGTGTGCTGCAAACAGTAGATGTGTGTGTCTGAGACTCTTCTGTAAAATGAATAGCCTCAACTGGGCGGCAGTCTACAAATGCACATAAAGACTGTATTTTTAAAGATTATCTGATAAAGTTGATTGAAAACTTTCCATATTTGTTTTTATATCGAAGCCAATGGATCCCAAGCCATTCTGCCCGATGAGTCCAATTTTGGAAAGCAGTGTTCTACCTACTTGTTGAAATTCTATACATCCTGAAAAGAGTCAATTCAAATGCTGCCTATTCCATGAAGCCTTCCCTGGTTCCCCAACTGACTGATGTCTCTCTTTTGAACTCTCTCTGCACTCTGTGCCTCTTATGAAACTTTGCTTTGGATATTGCATATTTATATACTTATCTTACCTCTGACGTCCAGTCAAATGAACTCTGAGAGAAGGCAAGGCGTATTAATCATATTTTTGTTCTCTATGTTTTTTTATGATTGTTAGGTGCCATCAAGTTGACAATGACTCACTGTGACTCTATGAACAACAAACATGAACTCTGCCCTGTCCAGTGCCAATCGTGGAGTGGAAAGTTGCACTGCCAACCCAAAGGCAGAAGGTTCGAACCTATCAGCTATTTTGCAGGAGAAATATGGGCAATCTCCTCCTGGTTAATTAATAGTCTCTGTAAACCTGCTGGTTGGTCACCTTGACTTGGCTCTGACTTGCTGTCATACAACAACAACAAAAATGCCCTGTATTTACTGAAAGACTAGGAAGAATATAACTCAGAAACAAAAACCATAGCAAACACATACTAAAGAATACATACAACTAACACAATAATTAGGGTGAGATTCATCTGCTATTGACACAATAACTGCAACAATGGGCTTGAACATAGTGGAGAATGTTAAAGATGGTACAGAGTAAGGGTTTCATTTGTTGTTCACAAAGTTGCTATTGGTCAAATTCAATGGCACCTAATAAAAACATATACAGATGTTAACAAATATAACATATACATGTATGTTATTGTTCGCAGGCGACTCATAGCAATCCTATGTACAACAGGCCTAAACCCTGCTCTATCCTGTGCCAATCTTACTGTCTCTGACACACCTATACCCATTACCCCAAGTACAGGTTTTGCATTAGCACTATCCGGGATACCCATTCTTCTCAGAGTCACCCACAGTTTGTTGAGATCCACACAGTAAAACGCCTTTGCATAATCTATGAAACACAGACACATTTCTCTGGTACTCCCTGCTTTCAGGCAAGATTCATTTAACATTAGCTAAAATATCCCTAGTACCACCACCCCTTCTAAAGCCAGTCTGCACTTCTGGCTATATTCTCTGTTGATGCGCTGTTCCAGTCGTTTTTGGATAATCTTGCTTGCATGTGGTATCAATGATATTGTTTGATAATTTCCACACTCTGTTGGGGCACCTTTCTTTGGAATGAGAACAAATATAGTGGTTATCATCCAGATTTCTTGACATAACTTGGTGAGCACATCCAGGGCAGCATCTGTTAGTTGAAACATATCAATTGGTATAACAGCAATTTCTGGGGCCTTATTTTTTGCCAATTCCTTCAAAGCAGCTTGAACTTCTTCCTTCATCACCATAGGCTCTTGCCTATGTTGCTTCATGAAATTCTTGTTTGCCAATTCCTTTCGATGCAGTGACTCTGCATACTCTTTCCCTCTTCTTTTAACACTTTCTGGATCATTTAATATTCTGCCCAAAGCATCCTTAAGTATAGTAACTCGAGGTTTGAATTTGCTCTTCCTTGAGCTTAAGAAATGCTGAGCGAGTTCGGCCCTTTTGATTTTCTGAGTCTAGCTCTTTGCACATTTCATTGTAATATTTTACTTTGTCTTCCCTCAATACCTTTTGAAATCTTCTGTTCAGCTCTTTAATATCTTGAATTCTTCCCTCTGCTTTGGCTTCTCGGCGCTCTAGTGTAATATTCAGAGTCTCTTCTGATATCCATTTTGGTCTTTTCTTCCTCTTCTGTCTTCATAAGGACCTTTTTTTATTTGCAACTTTTTGAGAAAGTGCCCTACTGACTTCCAGAGTGGTTGCACCATTTTACACTCCCACCAACGGTGAATAACGGTTGCAGTTTTCCACAACCTCGTTAGCATTTGTTGTTTGCTGTTGTTAAATTGTGTTATTCTTATTGGGATGAGATGGTATCTCATAGTTGTTTTGATTTGCATCTCTCTTAGAGTGAAGAGATTTTGAACATTTCTTCATATTTTTGTTTGCTATCTAAATGTCTTATTTCGTGAAGTGTCCGTTTATATCCTGTGTGCATTTTGCAATTAGGTTGTTTACCTTTATCTTGTTGTGGTGACAAGATTTAAAATGGGAATATTGATTCTCCAAGCTCTGGTGGCAGAGTACAAAGCATGTCAGGCTGCCAACCAAAAGCTAAGTGTTTCAAATCTACCAGCTGCTCTACATGAGAAAGATGTGGGTAAAGCCTCAGAACCTTCCTGGAGAGTCACTACTACTCAGACTTGACTGATAGCAGCTGGTTTAATCTCTAAATTTCTTCTCTTTCCATCCACCCCGGAAACTATTTTTTTTTTTTAATTTTTTTATTATTTTGTGTGCGTGTACCGTCAAATCAGATCTGACTGGTACAGGAGGATATTGCGCCTCCTTCTCCGGCAGAGCATCTGGTGGATTCGAACCACGTTCCTCTGGGATTGCAGTGCAGCTTCTTGCCACTAGGCCACCAGAGCTCCCCCCCACCCCGGAAACTATTAAACAAATGTCAAGTCTGATTCAACATCATTCTGACATACTTACAGGAGTAAATAAGAGCTGGAAAGAGGGTTTCATTTCTTTCCTGAGCAGTTTCAACCAGCATACGAAGTGGACCTTTTGGACACAAAACAGCCACCAAATCTAAAAAGAGAGAAAATAGAGAAGATATCTGTTAAAATGGACTAACACGTAAAAGGGACCCCTGGCGTTGCACTGTCAACCCAAAGGCACACAGTTTTGTGTTTTTTTTTTTCCTATAATTATATTTTATTAATTTTCATAAACATTTACAGAGATTTTGGGCTTCCACTCATTCATTGTTGCACTATTCTCTCTACCCTCCTCCCAGTTTGTTCTTGTCCAAATGCCACAGTGCTTGTCAAAGCCAGTTCTGATTAATCTTCTTTGTCAGTGTGTCCTTTGCCATTCCCTATCACTCCTCCCTGAGAGAGACTTCACCCTGAGTCATAAGGAAAAGGGGACGGCGTATTCTCTTAGCTACTTCCTGCTGAAAAGGGACGCTGTGGGTTTCAGGGTGAAGATCTTCTCTCATTACTCTAAAGGGCCCCTTTGGTAGTAGGAAACACATAGACTATTATGGAGATTGATTTTGGAATTCAGATGCACTCTTATTGATTGTGCTTGGCTGTACATGTACATATCCTTCAAGATGTATCATGGGGGTGTTGCAACCTAGAAGACACAAATTTGACTAACAAGTTATAAGTACATGAGTCCAAAAATTATGGAAAAGTAAAAGAAAAGATTCTTTCATTGTTTTACAAACACTCCCCCAGGTCCCCTCCACCATGCAGCCCTCGCTCTAGTCTCCTGTGATGACAGAAATACCCAGTTACATCTCTCCACCACCTGCGCCATGGGAGAAAGATGGACAATTTCCTTCCATGTGATTTACTGGTTCTGAAAATCTGCTAGATTTTCAGCTAGAGTGTCTGCTATGAGTTTGTTTCAACTCAAGAATACATAACAACAACAAACATGTAAACAAGTATTAGGGAATTAGGGAAGAATTAACCAAAGGAAAAAATTTAAAAAAAAATCTTTTTTGAGACACAAAAGAAGTATAGTAAACTTAAAAATATGCAAAACTACATAATAATGTAAGATTTCTAGAAATTTCATTTTTAGTGTGACTGTTATGTGCTTAGTTTTTGTAATGTATCAGCTGTGGATTCTAGAAATAAGTCTCACTATTCTGAAGGAAAAAGGAAGAGATAACAAAAATAGTACTGTGCCAGAGCAGTGGACAGGTTACAAGCAGCAGAAATGGGAACAAGGTAATTTCCAAATAATGAGAACTAAGAGCTACAAACAGCAACTTGAGTAATTTAATAGAGTGGATTTTTTTTTCCTTTACTAGTTTATTTACAAAATTCAAATACAAATTTGAATAAATTCTTTTCATTTCCCTTACAGTCCCACCCATCAAATAAAATCATACAATCTGATGATTAATCCGCCCTCCCCCCTGCACATCCACATCCCTCTGCTTTCACCCTCTCCCATCCCTTTTGGATCCTTTTAGACATTCTACAATAATGGTTTTATACAATATTTATCCTTGTGGGACTGAGTTAGTTCATTCAGCATAATGCTCTCCAGTCCCTCCCAAGTTAAATAATAATTTACAAAATCATTGCTCCTGCATACTGCATAGTATTCTACTGTGTGAATGTACCATAATTTCTCAATCCATTCGTTTGTGGTTGGACATCTGGGCTGTTTCCATGTTCTTACAATGATGTTTAACAAGCTCTCCAAGATTCGAAGATGAGAAGAAGAGCGAAGCCCCTATCTCTTTTTAAAAAATGGTGCGCATAATCTACATTTTGCTACAATTTTTTTAAAAAGTAAAAGCACATGTATTTCAAGAATACAAATAGGAAGCTGAAGCTGCAAGAACCTGAGTTATTTCCGAACATCACAGAAAAAAGAGATAGACTTTGACTCCAAGTCTATGGCTCCCTCCAGGAATCCACCATTAAGTTCAAATGGGAATCGTAAAAAAACATTTTTTTAAGATATTTTTCATTTGGGGTCTAGTCTATTTGGTGTTCACTGTGCTTCTTGAATGTGGATTTCCCTATTAATTTTCTGAAAGTTTCTATGAAATAAAAGCTACATTTAACTTACATACTGACTGGTTATAGGTTGTGGATGCCATATTTTCCTTAAGAAAAGGAAAACACAACAAAGTGAGGCATTTCTGTGACTGACAATGCCAATTAGGGTTTTTACCATATACTGAAATCACAGCCAAGATGAGCCAGGCAGTCCATTCAGGGAGGTACTTGATGAACACCAGGGCCATGAGGGCACTGATCATAATGAGATATGCCTGCTGGAGTCGAAGCGGTCCTTTCCAGTGGATGGAAATCATCCCCACTACACCGAAGTTCCAGATCAGGAGTGCAACAGTAATATAGTCCATGGCAACATTGTAGGTTTTAAACACTTCCCTGAAAAAAATGAAGGATTTTAAGAGATGTATATAAAACAACATTTACCAAAGCATTTGGAACTATGGGTTTCATAAATTATATATTCATATTCCATTTTCATATTTTTATTATAGTCAGAATCAACTATGCTAATGTTTAGTCAATACTTTTCTTCATATTAATTCACTTTTATACTTAAGTAAAACAGGACATTTTTTAACATTCATGTAAATGGGAAGCCTGTATTATATCCCATTAACTGTAAAAATAAGTATATTATGATTTAAAAATGAAAAGGAAACCATACATCTATTTCTCACTCAAAATCAGACTATACTTGGGAAAACTCTAGTTTAAAATATTTGAAACAGAAAAAAGGTAAGGATACACCAATTTTTTTTTAATAGGATTTTTGTTTTTAAAATTTTTTTAATTTTATTTTATTATTTGTGTGTGTGTGTACCGTCAAATCAGCTCTGACTGGTACAGGAGGAGATTGTCCCTCCTTCCTCAGCAGAGCATCTGGTGGATTCAAACCGTGCACCTCTGGGATTGCAGTACAGCTTCTTGCCACTAAGCCACTAGAGCTCCCCCAATGTTTTTATAATTATGACACAAATAGGGTTATTTTTAGGTGATGGTAGTTAATACAATCACAAACAGCCTTGACACATTGTTGCCTAAAAAAAAACAGAAGATCCTGTTTCACTGTAAAATGACAGTGTGTGAGAAGGGAGAACAAAAAATTGGTAAATTAATTCGTGAAAGGATGGATGATAGTATTGGTTTCGTTGGTGAAATTAGAATGTAAATTTTGATAATTTTTACCTTTGTTTTTTATACACCTACGTACCTGAATTTTTACAACCAAAATTTAACTCTTTTCTCATAAAGAACTTTTTAATTAAAAAAAAACCAAAGAAACCCTATCATCTAAAAAGAAAATTATTACAACTGAAAACATGTCCTGAAGACTAGAGCGAGGGCTACATGGTGGAGGGAACCTGGGGGAGGGTATGTAAAACAATGAAAGAATCTGTTCTTTTACTTTTCCATAATTTTTGACTCATGTACTTATAACTTGTTAGT